TGCAACGAGAACAGTTCAAGTGTTTTCATTTGTATGCTAGCGTTACTACATGCGAGTAGAATTATGCAAAGTGATCGCTTCTAAAAGAACTGGTGTCAGAACCTAGTCAATAATCGTATGTTGGTATCACTGACATAATCTAATCTATTTTTGATGTCGTAAGTACCCAAATAAAAGCAAACGACTGATTCTTTGGGTATTTAACGATATTTTCGCAAGATCTGATGCTGTATAAAGCAGTTGATTGATGTGATGGGAGATATGCAGAATGTACTGGCATATTTTAAGATATTATCTCAGCATTTGTTTGGAAGAACTGAGGAAAGCCTCGGCAAGCCTCAGTCACTAATGTTCATAATAAGCGAAAAGTCTTCCTCTAGGCACACGACCTTTTCCGTCATTTAGGAATGCCACTTTGTAGGCATACACATTACAGCTAACAGTTCTTTCCTGAATTACTCCAGCAATTGAGGGCAATATAGAGAATCCATTCCCTCCAGAGAAAGAAGACAATCAGAATATGTCTCAGTCGAGATTCGAAGCCACAGCCTCCCATGTACGAAGCCGAGTACCTGGGGACCGAGATTCAAACTCGGTACCACACCCTGCAGCACAGTTAACCGCACCATAAAGTGTAACTGAATAACTGTTAATACTGGCCTAGTAGCCAAGGCCAATAACTAACAGAGAACGATTGTACGAACCGTCAATAACAGTTTGCGGATTAAGTATTAATTATTCACGTGCCTTCTGAACATCACGTTTCGGCACAACGCTGTTCCTTTGTTATGCTAATGTGATGACGTCAGATCACGCTGCGAGACTTATCACGCGTTCTTGTTTCTTGTCGGCGACGACAACAAAGAAATATGATGTGTAATAACGATTAGTTCGCCACGTTCAAAATAATTTAGAGCTATTTTTAAATGTTTCTTAAAACGAGTTTACGAATCTGGGGTTGGTGATGACAGATAAAGGACACCTGCAGTTCTTTGAGGGCGGGGCTTCCGACGGATTGTCGCGTGATTTGAACACGTCCCGATAATCACTGCATCTTTTAAACTTTGCATTAAGGAAAAGCGAAGTTCTGGTCATTAAGAAGTATCTGCAGGTAGATAGAGACCGCGCGTGCAAGGAAGCTACGTAAGGCACAACGAAAATATCTTGAAAAATGTAGCCGTTGAGGAAACCCGCGAAAAAGAAACATAAAAGCATGAGGAGGTGGAACGAGGACCAACAGGAGGGCAGCGGCTCTTGAAATGTGCTTCTTAATATCAGCAACAGCAAGTAGGAGTACTCTCTCAGTTCAGAAAACGTCGGCGAGCACGTGCCGATTTACGATATTGCAGGCAGAAATAAGTGCTGGGAGAATGTTCGAAGGATGAGGTTGACACAGCTCGCAACGCGCGTGGGGATATCAGAAATGAGCGTAAAATTTTCGTTGAAAAATGTGAAGGTCACTCAGATCAACTAGAAAACACAGACATAAACGCAGATGGGAGAAAAGTTTTAAAATGGATCTTAGGAAACAGGGCATGGACTGCGTTTTTCTGGCTGGAAATGAATCTTGTGGTCAACGGTCGAATAGCAACGACTAACTTATTATGCGTTCAGTTCATGCTGCAAACGCGAGTAAGTTTCGATACTAGAGAGTCACTTGTTTTCAATTGGTCGTCAGCAGAGTGATGTCTTGGAAGCTTTGAATATAAGGAAGTCAGACTTTCAAGTTCCCTTCCAGGGAGATTTAACGTATTATTGTTTCCACAGGTGCAGAGAGAGGCTGGGAGAGAGCTCGGGACTCAGCAGCAGGAGCGACATGCCTCACACAGGTAAAGTAGCTGACAACCCGTCTCATTTTGTATTCAGCCATCCAGCGAACCGAGGGTATGGGATAAACAAGGCAGCTCTGGTGGTTCAGCAATAGACTCTGAGCATTATAATCTTACTTCTGGTATACACACTTATCGCTGAGTCAGTAAGGTAACACGAGTTCGATTTTACACTTAGGTGGAGAAATTAATTGCTTTCTTGCTAAAATGTTGCAGTTCCAAAGCATGTAAAAACCAACTCGTTTTGTAGACAACATGAATAAGGCTGAACCAAAAAGCGTATCGTTAAATTAGTTCCACTTTGTTTCCCACAACAATGTGGAGGCGTTGTGATCGCCTGTTTTTTTTTCCGAAGTATTTTTTTTAGATAAATTTGTACTATGATTTTGTCATGAATTCTGATGACCTATGGGCATACAGGTGCTTACTTATTTTCAGCTTCATTTTCTTAAACACTAATCCAACCTAACCTCCTTACTAGCACAAATAAAGTGTCTGTATTTTTCTTTGTGAGATATATGTTCGCACCCAATAAATTAACATCATCAGCATAAACCGTAAGGCGATGTGTAGCTCTGATCTTTGTATATTCTAAAGCAATGACGAAGATTGCGATGAAGCATCCAAACAATAGGACAACCGTCTATTTCATGACGTAATATCAAAGATTTTGTCTATCAACTACTTAGGCCGTGACGTAGCTCAGGTGGTTAGACGCCGGTTTGTTAAGCGGAGGCCCGAGTTTAATCCCCGGCGATTTCAAGTGGCAATTGAAGTTTGCAGCAAACGAAGTAGCACAGGAGCCGTCTCTTTCCGAGTGTTTCCGTTTCTCCCTGTTAATCATCACCCACAACTGCTCCATTCTCTTTTATCACCGATCCACGAGGTGTGTATCAGCGCATTATCACGTCCTCGGTGCTAAGGAGGCGTCTTCGCCTCTGGCCTGGTACATGGCTGGTCTCAGAGTAGAAGTAGTTTCATAACTTCTTCTGTTTCGATTCTAAACTAATTTTGACCTCAAGTCTTACATAATTTTGAATATTCACGAATTTGATAAATTCGCGAACATACACCCATATATCCCGAGCGGGATTCGAACGTGTGATCTCGGTGTTCAAGGGGTTGCTGTATCAGACACTTCAGACTGGCGAGGCACGACGCAGCAGGAAGCACATTTCCTTTATTTTGCTGCAACCGAGCGTGAAATTTGTAAGCACAGGTTTGGCTTTATGAACGGGTCATCGGCGGGGGGGCGGGGATAAGTAGCTACCTGGCAGATTGTATATGCAGGCTCAAATCGCTTCCGTCACGCTGTATAACGGGTGTCGAAAGTCAGGCGCGGTCCATGTCTGTCTCGCAGCTTATGCACGAATAATAACGTTGCTACAGATAAACGGGCTTCATTATTCTTGGCATCGCATTATAAAGTCTCATATTAATTTACCGACGCTGTCAGTAGCTCAGGTTTCACAGCATCCAATGGAATGATGAATACTGAATAATGAACTGAAAAAGATGTGGAAGGAAGTTGTGGCTTATTTATACTGACCAAGGATTTCCGTTGTTTTTGTGAGTTCCTCCAAGCAACTGTCGAGGCAGTACTTTAAATTAGTTCACGGCCATTTCCTTCCATATCCTTTCCAATCCATTATTCTCTGATCAACCTATGATCGGAAGCTACAGTATGAACTATTAGCAGTGCCAAATAAACAAATAAAAATGAACCTCGTAATTAACTACCAGTCTAGATGCCTTAATAACTGACCACCTGAGTAACTAACTAACAATTATCTATGTTACTAATTCACCAACCCTCGGTAACAGATTTCAAAGATACGAAAAGCCTTTCACTGAATCCATTTCTATATTACTCTAATTCAACTTACATTATTCAAATATATTCCATTAAGACACATTTCAATAGTATCCTCCAATCTTTGTCTCTGTCTTTAAACTTGATATTATTAAAAAGTAACCTTAAAAATTTTGTACAAACGTTCTTACCCTCTTCCACTCGTGTTGCCCATCGTAACCGCAACAACACATCTCAGTTGATACGGTGTCATTAGTCACAATCCTGCTGGTACTACATGCAAACTAGTCACGGAAACGAAGAGCTCTCTTCGTTACCCATTTATTTCAAGATGGCGCCGAGCGCTGTGCTGAGTCAGTCAGCATGAAGGCACAGTCCGGGTGGTCCTCTAATTAGCGCCACGAAAGGTGTGACAGGACATTACAGGCCTCGAATGAAAATAGGTTCTTTCCTTTGGGGCAGGCCCAATGTCTAAACGGGGCAATTGAGAGCAATAATTTTCAGATTTGTTCCAGACGACTCGCGTGCGTCCTTCCTTTTGCCATAATCTTTATCAGGGGTGTCAAACCCGATTTCTGCCTGCTGATCTAACTAAATGGATTTATGTCCGATATTTTTAATATCAGATATCATAAAATAACTCCATGGAATAGAGTCCTTGAGACACTGATAGTAGTTCAGATCTTCGAGTTGTTTTTAGTTGTTTATGAAACTAAAAGTTCCAGTACCGTGTTCACTGAAGCCCGCTACTGGACCCTATCCTGAGCCTGTTTAATTCAGTGAATAAGTTCACACCCTATTTTCATATGATACACTTTAATATTATTATGATACACCTTTTCCTAGGTGTACGAAGACACCTCTTCTCTTCAAGTTTCCTGACTAAAATTTGCTGTATACATTTCTTATTATTCTACGAGTGCTAAATTACCCGCCCATCTATTATTCCTAACTTACTTTATCTCTATAATATCTTAAATGAGGTCAATTAATGAAGCTCTTCGTTATGTAATTTTTTTTAAGTTTACTTGTGTGCGTGTAACAGAAATGTAAAAAAAGAGGAGAATTGACGGAAAAAGAGTCAACTTTCAGATTTCTTCCACAATTAGTGAAAATACTTGTTCATTATATCTTTGTAGCGAAAATATTAATGTTCTGCATTGAACAGTGTTGGTCATCCCCTACCAGAAAGTGACAGCATTACCGCGTCACATCGTGTGAGGTCTATCTTCTCTCCCCCCCCCCCCCCCC